AACTGGTATCATTCGCATTCACAGCATTGTAAGATGGCAAAATATGTACCCTTAGGCCCCCCTTCTCGATTCAGAGATGGTCAGCATCCTGACAGCCTGATGGACGAAGCTCTCACTATTATCTACTACTATCTCACTAGCCTATTTTTCATGTTTATTTGAACATAAAATATTAGATTTATGTGTGTTTAGTAAATAATTGTTTTTCACTGACACTTTTTCATCTCCCATTTTTACTACATTTTAAATAAGATCAGAAGAAGCAGCAGGAAGCAACAAAAACGGATCTTTTTCATTGCATGCCGAACTGGACCTAACCTTATAGTAACCTATAAAACGCAACTTTTTTGGACATTGGACTTCTTTTGCCTGCATACAAAATATAACCACAGTTCAGCAGTGGCTGAACTTGTTGGATGATTTGTTTGTCAAAAAAAAAAAGAAATTCCAATTTCCTACTAAAGGTATAAAGAAGAAAAAAGTTAAAAGACTTTATTAAAGTCATTTCATTCATTAAAATGTAAATTTGGTATTTCTTTGTTTTGACTTTCAAACTAAATTTGACTCTGTTAACATTTTAATTTGACAGATGAGATGAAAGGTGAAACAGCCTGGAGGCTACAGAGAGCAGAGCTCACTGGCTGTGAGACACCTCAGCAACTTTTCCCGTTTCCCTGCTCGTTTCAAACGTCTCACTGCCATCAAATTTCAAATGTGTGTTTAAAAACAGGAATGTTTCCAGTTTCAGAGTTTGATCTGTCTTCTCTGTAGGATTTTACCTTGAATGTGACTGCAAATCACTGCTTTGTCCGCTTTTTGTGGACATTTTACTAACATCACAGGAAGCCATGAAAGATCAGGGAACTGGCTCTCTGCTGGAGGACATCAGCTGACTGGGCGCAATGAGAAACACACTGAGGCCTCCTACAGGACATATAGGGAACAGCAGGGATGTGTGAAAAAAAATGACCCGAGATCAGCTGCAAGTGCTAAACAAAATAAACATCCACGATATTTAAAGTTCTGTTTCTTATGATGGTTTTTATTATTTTTGTTTTGGTGGTTTGATGGTGGTTTGATGGTTTTTATTATTTCATGCCAACTAGATAGACAACAGTGATAGACAACATATGCAGTGCTCTGTGCTACACACATATTTACATGTTTCTAAGAGTTTTATAACCAAACTGTTACCAACACCCTGCACCATGTTGTTGTTCAACATGGGAAAAACATAAGACTAGGATTGAAGCATTCGCTGCTTATTAGATAAGACACAAGCACTTTGATCCCTCAATACAATCATATTCTGGTTATAACTGCATTAAAAAAAAAAAACATTGAGCCACTATTTTCAGCTTACATGGCTGAAATATTTTCAAATGAGTGAAACAGTAAAAGCATTTGGAGAGTTTGGAAAATCACATTAAGAAAGAGAAATCAAGCATTTGGATAGACTTGTTGAAAATGCAGAGGAGCTGGTTGTGAACAGAGCTACAGAGAAACATCTGACTGGTGAAAACTGATGAGAATCATTGTTTTAACTTAATTCTCCCTTTGTTGGTGCTTCAGGCTGGTCCCAGCCTCTCAGCACTCAGCTTCATCCAATCCAGGGGAGCAAAGCGAAGTCTCCTACTACACATGTACTACATGATTTTTGCTATTCTCTTACCTCTCACCTAATAGCCGGTTGTCTTAATGACTGTTAAATGAAACCCTGATTAAGATGCCAGATATTGTTTTGTCTCAAGTGGTCCTAAGTGCCCATTTTATCATTGGACTTAGTGTTTCTTCACCTTGAAGCTTCTACACTGTCTACACATCTAAAATCTTAAGCTGTCATTCACTATTATATATAACAATATTGATATTCACTGTGAAGCTTTAAATGGCAAAAATAAGAAAAAAAAATATGTGGATCCTGGAATAATCGTAGCTTCCATCTTTAAAGGACTGAAGAGGAAGAAGTTTACAAGGAATCATTTAAAACATCATCTGACTGAATCCATGAATCTGAAAACACGTTTCTGGGTGAAAGAGACGTACACACTCAACTATCAACAGTCAGAGCGTTTCTCTAACAAGAGCAAACTCTTTACACTCAACTCACCACAGACGCACTAAACCATATTGAACTTCTGATCCCTTTAAAGAAGCCTGGAGTGTAAATCCAGGATAAAGAGGTTCAGTGAATTTGGTTTTGTAGGTGTGGAGCTCAATCAGAATGTCAGAGGAGACTCTGTAGAAAGACAGAGTGCCAGCAGGACAGTCCACATACACTGCTACTCTGTTAGAGACGGAGGAGGAGGAGGAGATGATGGATGTTTCCATACGATTGTGTTTGGCAATTGGAGGACCATCTTCAGAGCAGCACAGACTCCAGGACTGATCATTAAATCCAAACATACATTCAGTACCGTTTCCTTTCCTTCTGATTCCTCTGTAACTCACTGATATATCAACCCTTCCTCTCCACTCGACCTCCCAGTAACAGCAACCAGTCAGACCATTTGTACACAGCAGCTGAGGATGAACATCAAATCTATCTGGATGATCAGGATATGACTGAACCTCCTCCACACGTGTCACCTTCCTGTTGTTGTCAGACAGTTGGAGGTTTGTGTTCACTGTGTTTGTGTCGATTGTGAGTTGACAGGAATCTGATGGAGAGAACAAACACAATCCAGCTGCAGTTATTGATCCATCACCTGTTCATTGATTGACACTTTGATGAAGACTCCTGACACCAGAGATGTGAATGAGTGATGTGACAGTTTGAAGATGGCTGAATGTGTGCTGCTTTGTTTTCATCAATCACATTAAAAACACACTTACACGTCCTCAGACCTGGTCTCAACCATCGGACTCCAGCAGGCCCCTCCCTGAAAGGAGGAGAGGGGTCAGAGCAGCACAGTCAGCATGCACACATGGACATTACATCACTCTCATACACATACTGTTAGACACTGATGACGAAACAGTCCAAAATTTTCACAAATACACTTCAAACCAATACGTGGATCAAATTGCTGATGATTTAGACTGATCCTGGATCTGTCAGCACACCACTGTATTGAATGAATTATAAGTGATTCAAACTGACCTTCATTATCTTTTTATTCCTCTTCTGTTTAGCTGGAAAAGACACCTCCCTGCCTTTGCTGACAGCTGTTTTTCTCCAATTGGTGTGAGTTTGGTTACTGCGCATGACCTCTGACCTCTGAGTGAGTGCATTGTTGTTTTCATGTTTTAATGCCGCCTGAAACCTGCTCATGTTGTGATTTAACAGCAGATTTCTCCACATGCGCACAGAAATTTCTGCCTCTGTCACATATAGAGTGGACCATATGTTTGTTTTTGAATTTATTTCATGTAGAAACTATTAAAGGATCAGTGTATTTCCTCAGCAAACACTCTGATCATCATGTTA